TATGTATATAATTGTGTAAGATGTAAGAAGACTGTTTGTACTGAGATAAAAATGTAATTGTTAGCAAGTGGTTTTTTTTTAAATTATGGCCTATGGGCCGGTCAAAATTTTTGCCCCCCTCCCTTTCAAAACCTGAAATGACGCCACTGTTTCCACTCCAAACTCAACTCCAGTACTAATTCTCTCATTAAAGATATAGCTTCACTGTATATCCCAGGCAACTCTCCACGCAGGCTTAAACGTAATTGGAATCGCGATCTACTTAAGTAATGGTAAGCCCAACTAAAAGTTAGTAAGTGTCACCAACGGGCGACTTCCTTAAAAACTGTTTCTTTGTCAAATTATATGTTATGTTTTTTTTTTATTATATCTAAATTACTAAATGTACTTGTTTGTACAGATTGTTAAAAAAATAAGATATATTGGTGTAACTCTAAAACAAATTACCGTAGATACATGAAATTATCATTGAATGTTATTTTGGCACTTTTTATATCTGATAAAATTTCCAAGATATTTCAAATATTTTTAAATTATTATTATAGACATATTAAATTTAAAATTTTTTTCTTTAAATGTCAATAAAATTTTATTTGTTGGACAAAAAAACTTGAAAATTGAATACAAGGTTCCCCATAAGCAGGGGTTAAAGTGGGGGTGGACGCAGGAGGACTCAGTCCCCTTACCTCTGATGGCGGTTAAAAAGCGCCCCCTTTAACAAATTAGGATTTTATACATTAGACATTATACATAAAATTATATAAGGAACGCTTAAAACTATATGGAAACATTAGTCCCCTCTGGAATTTTTTCCCACTTTAACCTCTGCCCATAAGTTGATATAATAACAGTTGGAAAATATACATTGGCACGTTTTTTTTTTTATATACATATACCTAACCGTTTAAAGTTCACATTTTGACAAAATTTATAAATTATTTAGCTGTTAAAATGTATAGAACTTTTAACTTTTATAGCTAAGGATTGAAAATTTAAAATAAAATTTTACGAAAGTAGTTATTTCTGCAGCAAAAATCTAAAATCTATAAGAACATAGTTTTAGATTCTGAGCGGAGCAAGGAATGTATTGGTTATACAATGATGTTTATTTCTTTTTCTTTTTTATTCTGTAAACACCTTTTAAGGCTCCCTCAAAACTTGCTCAAAAGTATCAAGTGTAGCATCTTTTCTGAAAGGTAATGTTCTTGAGCTGGTCATTTTTTGATTTTTGAAACGGTACTCGAAATAAAAGCGGTTAAAGGAGAAAAACTTACGATTTTTTAATATTGTTTTTTTTTTTTTTTTTGAAATTATAACAATACAATTAATATAGTATAACATTCCTAGACTGATAAACCGTCTCCACTCAGAATTTTTTTTCGTATAATACAATTATATTACATCATTGAATTCAAATTTAATATCATCCATTACAGTAACCTAYTGTACTGTAGAGCGACATCCACTTACTTACCCGCTTTTTTTATAGTAATTTTAAGTTCAAATTCAGATGAAATTACATATTAAACGACCATGAATAACAATTTTATTTCAGGCATATTTTGTTACAACCCGGTCATGGCTATGAA